TGATTATTTGAAAATAGTGTTCAATTTGTGCTTTATCCAGATCTTTGATCATATTCCTTTTCTTTTATGGCTTTTTTTCCTACTTCATTTACAATTTACAAATATGCTGCAGAAATCACACTGTTAAATTTGGGACTCACTGGATTAAGGAGGCCTGTGAGAAGGCTGAAACAACTGGTTACAATCAAGTTTATGAAGAGCTGAAACATTTCTTTGTGATTTGCATGACCTCCTTATAAATAATTATGAATTTAATGAAATGAGATCATTCATGATGATCATATAATAAAAACCTGATAGCCAAAATATTAAAAGTCTTCCTTAAAAACCCATTTATTTACACAAATCTATTTCACTAAGGACTAATCCTTTGCTGATGTTCAAATTTAAACTGTTCTGTGTCTGTTTCAGAAAACCATGAAGTCACTTCTACAGTTTCTTCTAGTTTTTCAAGGACTCTCGTAGTACAAATTGGTTCAAAATACTGCTTTGTTTCAAAGCGTGCAGTTTAGATGTGTCTTCACTGATGACGGGAACGTGTTTGTTATGGTCCTGAGCTGTCAGGTCACTTTCACTGTCAGAGAGTGTACACAGGAGAGTGTCATTTTCATAGGTTGGAAAATAATATCTGAAAATAAAGCACAGATATATTGATTAACCAAAATAAGGAACTGTCCAGAACATTTCTAAGTAGCTGAATGCACACATTACTATAATTATGCTAGATTTCCTTACTAACTATTTTGGAGAGTTTTTTTGGTACCGGGGATCGAACTTGGGTCCTTGTGCTTGCGTAGCAGGCGGCGAAACCACTGAGCTAAATCCCTGGCCCTTTGGAGAGTTTTATAAACATTGTATTGGAGACAGCTTTCTGAGTTATTTTCACTGTGTCCTTTACTATCTGATACCAGCCTTATGGGATCTAGTTTTGCTAGAAGGTCATTCAGCCTCTGCTTAATATCTTCCACTATAAGAAACATACTTATCTTCAAAGGCCGCCTACAGCAATTCTGGGCAGCTCTAGTTAGATAACATCTCCTTCATATGAAGCTAAATATGGCATTCCTTCCATTTCTACCCAAAAGTCCTAGTTCTTCCCTCTAAGTTAACAAAGTTCCAGATGGTTATTTTTCAAACACAAATTCTTCTAATACCTGATGAAAACAAAGAGTTTTCTCCTTGTGTTTCATTTCATAACCCATTAACCATTACCAGTTTCTTTACCTGTTACATCTAAAACAACAATTATAGAAAGAGGGTACCAGATCAGCCCAGGTATCCTGGATCTCACAAGTATGAGATTTTCTGAAGGAGAACTAGAGCTTTCTGGCTAGAATTCTGGGTGTCCTGATTTAATATTCTTGAGAACAGAGGAGCATCTGGGCAGCTAGAACTCCATAGACTCTCAGGGGTTCCTTCAGCTGAGGTTATCAAGAATGATATGAAGGTGGGTGTGATGGTGCACACTGGTAATCCAAGCACGCTGGGAGGCTGAGGCAGAAGGATCATATATTTGAGCCCAGTGACTCAGTAAGACCCCGATTCAGAATAATAAATGAAAAAGGACCAGAGATATAGCTTAATGTGAAGGTCCTGAGTTCCATACACAGTATAGCAGGAAAAAAAAAAAATGACAAGAGAACCAACCCAAAAGGGTAAGACTGGCAAAAGACAGTTGAAAGTCTGACAACACCTTAATAGGTACATACAAGGTGACCAACTGCTTCAATGTTTTTGAAGTACTAATATGTAAAATATATATCAAAAGCCCTAGCGATATGCAAAAGATGTAGGCACACAGATATTTATTGTATAACTATTTATAATAGAAAAAAGTAAACCTAAATATCAACAAATTAGGTTATATCCATATAATGGGATATTTGGTAACCATTAAAAATGATGTAACAGGGCTGGGGATTTAGCTCAGTGTCGCCATGCCTGCCTCCAAGTACAAGGTCTTGAGTTCAATCCCCAGTACCAAAAAAAAATGCAACAACTGGGTGCACACCTATAATCCCAGCTATTCAGGAGGGTGAGGCAGGAGAATTTGAGGCCAGCCTGTGCAACTCAGCAAGACCTTGGCTCAAAACAAAGACAAATAAATAAGTAAATAAAGGGCTGGGGATGTAGTTCAGTGGTAGAGCATTTATTGAGCATATGCAAGGCTTTGGGTTTTTTCCCCACCCCCCAAAAGATGTGACATATGGGTATCAGACAGGCTTGTAGCCCAGATGGCATAAAAGGGAAAGGGAGGCTTGCTGATTGGTGCTTTCTGCCTGCCCTGCTATGGACTGTTTCTCTTCTGCCATGCTATCCTACCTTTGAGCCAGCTATGGAATGAAACCTCTACAAAGTGTGACCTAAAATGAACTTTTCCTTTTTTAACTTGTGGGTTTTGGGTACTGTGTTTCAGCAATGAGAAAAGAGGGGATTACTTTAAAAATAAGATTTTAAAAGTGTTTTGTTGTTAAAGAGATTCTTGAAAAAGGGATATAAAAGGAGACAACCCAGAAGTTTACATCTAGTTCAGCAGTACTTACTCCAGTTGATCCCATGTCTTTCTTTCAGGAAGTAATGAAGTATGTTTAGTTTCTTCCATATGAATCCTTAAATCTGCTTTGGAACTGAACTTCACACAGCAGCCATAACATCTACATTGGTGAATTTGCCTTCGAATGAAATTGACCAGTTTTACTTGTTCATAGAAATTTAATCCTGAAAATAAGAGTATACAGATTCATTAGACAAGTGTTTAAGATAAATATCACCATTAAGAAATTGTAACAGCACATGCCTATAATCTCAGCTACTAGGGAGACTGAGTGTGAACTGTGAGTTTGAAGCCAGGCTGGGCAACTTAGAACTTTTCTCAAAATAAAAAAAAGGGCTGGAAACCTGGCCTGGTGTGTACAACTATAATCCCAGCACTCTTGCAGGGTGAGATGAGAGGATTGCAAATCTGAGCCTAGTCTGGGCAATTTAACAACTTAGGGAGACTGTCTCAAAATAATAAATTAAAAAACAAAAAGAGCGTCTAAAAATCTAGCTCATTGCAAAGGCCTTGGGTTCAATCTGCAATACCAACCAAAAATCCTGGGGATGTAGCTCAATGGTAGAGTATTCTTCAGATAAACATGGTTTAAGATGTGTTTCAGTAAAGCTGAAACAGTATCAACTGGGTAGTTAAGTGTGACGGTGTCAACTTGATTGGCTTCAGATCTTCGAGGGAATTGGTCGAGCAGGTTTCTGATGCTGTCCACGTGTGTCATAAAGGTATGACCTTCGGTGCTATATCTTCTGGTCCCTCACCTCTTCCTCTCTGGTACTATCCCTGCTCTAGTTCTTGGCTGCCATGAACTAAGCATCTTCGCTCCATCACATACTTCTGCCATGCTATCTGCCTTGGAAGCAATTGACCATGGACTGAATCCACTTAGAACTGAGCCAAATTAAACCTCTCCTCCTTTAAGTTGTGGTACTGTGTCCAATAATGGAAAAGCTGATAAATACACACATATTAATATAATGTTCAAAAACCCTATCAGAGAGTTAGCATTATCATGTCCACATTAGATATCTGGAAACTGTTCAAGGTTTCACACTTAGTAGGTGGGAGGGCTAGGATCTGACATCAGGCTATTAGCTTTAGAGCCCATATTCTTGACTACTAAGCTAATTACACATACAGTGTATACATACACATGTCCGTAACAGCAGCAAAGCAAAATAATACATCCAAGAAACTAGTGACTGACCTTAAATATGAGAAGTAAGCTTTTAAAAAATTATTATCTTAGATTTTTTAGGAAATCAGTACTTTATCTCTCAAGGTCCCTGAGTCTTCCATGGTGGTGATGCTGAGAATGATTCGGGTGGGGACACCTATAATAAATAATGCCAGTTACACTGTCAAGCAGTGTTGTAGGTGTTTTATAAACTTTATTCACTCCCTATGTATTTTTCTGACCTGAGGCCCAATGTCATATAGCCTAGAGGTGCTGGGGCTGAAATATGAACTCAAGCCTGACTTAAAAAAGAACCTATTCTTAATGTTTATCTCCTCCAGACAGGCACTAACAGAGCTTGTATTTTAAAGTATTCATGTTCATACAGAAGTGGAAGAGAGGACTATGTAAAAAAAAAGCCATATTTGAATATATCAGTTCAAATGGTTGAGAATCATTGCTTCAGAGAGTTCTGTTAAGACCATCTGTACAGAGACACATTTTGGCTATATCTTCTCTAATCACAGCTATCGAACACAGGCATCATTTACAGAACAGCTGATAAAAAATGCAGCATCATGGAAACAACTTCTGAATCAAACGTACCAAGTTCTGATTTTATTTTTAGGAGATCAAATTCATGTGCATCCTAAAAAAAAAAGGAATGAATATATCTGTAAGCATATGAATTATTTAATCTTTCAGGCTGAAGTTATAAACAGCTTATTCAGAGGAATTTGAGTACTTCAGAAACCCAGTCTGAGTTCATCATCTTCTGCTTTTGAAGTCTTCTAACTACTTCCTTCCACATTCAATTGCTTTTTAACGCACAGTCCAAACAAGTCATGCCAATCACTTAAAACATTTTAATTATTCACAGCTTATAGCCACAGTTTTTATAAATACTGTGTCTGAAATATGCAGTCTGATAAAGTGTGTAGGGAAGATGTAGCTCTACTGTGCTGGACCATCTGTAGTGGAATTATGGATATAGGCTCTTTGCTCCACAAGCAGACAGGTAATTTTACACATTCTGGTTTTCACTTTATGCTGTCAAATATAGTGCTTAAACTTAAAAGTTTCTCTTCACTCCCATCTTTCCATAAACTTGCTTTCAATTTTCATAATGCAGAGACTTACTTTACTCTGTTTCTTTCCTTCAACTGTCTGTGTAAATGTTTTAACTTACAAGCTCACAGAGGATAAAGACCATCCGATTCACTGTGGTGGCTTTTACTGTAGCACCACCCTGTGTAGGAATTCGTGATGGTCTTATACAGTCACTGAAAGTGACTGATGAGAGGTTAAAGACACCTATCAAACATGCTGGAAGGGCAATTCCTACACAGCATTCAGGTACTAAGTTTCTTTTCAATTCAGAGGCATTAGGATATTATGAATTTAATTTGAACAGAGAACGCTAAAACTATACACATATCAGTGGTAACTTGTTTCAGAGAAACAGATTCTCTGCTTTCATAAGAGTAAATGCCCATGGCCTTTCCAACACCTCCCAGGTTCTTGTTTTATTGAACTAAGAACAGTGTCTGAATGAAGAGGAGTGAAGGTAGGTGAAAGAGTGCAGCTCAATTCACTACTAACAGAGGGCGCTGAGAAAAGGAGGGGGAGAAGATCAAAATTATCCAGAAATATTTTCTATTGCCCTCACCCCTCGGCTCCCAAGCTGTGACACTGTCATGGATTATTAGGTGCTGCCCTTCCCCAACCCCAGCATATAGCTGAGGATCAGAGATATAGGGAGTGTGCATCTCTCCAGTACACCGGGGCGAATGAAGGTGTAGAACTACTAGCTTTAAGCTTCACTGTAACATAAAAAGGGCACCACAAGGGAAAGTGAACTGGGAATGTTCTTAAGTTTCTTTTGCCCAAATGCTGGTACTGAAGAGGCTATAGAAACACACCTTAGACACTGTCTATCCTCCACCCTCCTCCTCATTCCCCAGGGACTTTGTGAATGGCAATACCCGCCCTTCCTGCTCTTCCAGTCACCAGTACAAGGAGCACTGGAAAAGACTCAGCCCTGTCACATCGTGGCTACAGATCTGTACTTCTGAACTAGAATGATCGTATAAGCATCTTACAGGTGGAAAGCATCAGGGGTCTGTGTAAGCCCTCTCTAACAGTTCACCCAGTCAATCGTGCTGTGCGAACTGTGCTTAGCCCCGATCCTCCTTGATGGACATGGCCTGTCTCTTCTGTTTTGCCTAACGCACTCTTAGGAATGGGATCATGATTGACAAAAGAAAGTATAAGCAAATGAGGGTGCCAAGATTATCAGCTTTCCCGTTAGAATAAAACAAAATGAAAATGAACAGAACTATCTCACCTCCATGTGAACATAGAGTTTCTCAATTGTTTCTGCTTGCTTTTCACAGAAGAGACAGACAGCAGAGGCAGGGTGTTCTTCCCAATCAGACCAGTCACTGGTTAAAAACAGATTCTTTTAGTTTCTCACACCAGAGAAACTATTCGATATTTATACATGTGTGAAAGTGTAAATAAGGACTAAAACGTATAATAGGTGATGTGAAATAGGAAGAAAAGGGGCAAAGGGCAAGGAAGTGGGAGGGGTAGGGGAAAGGAAAGAAGGGAAAGGAAAAATAATGAGAAATGGAAAAAATGGAAACAAAGTCTTTGTAAATAGGGAAGGGTGGAGCGGGTGAAGGGAGGGCAGGGAATGGGGAAAAAATAAGAACCAAGATGCATCATGTAAAGGTACAATTCCCAATGACGAGTGTAACTGTATTGTATACCTAAAATGTACCAATAAAAGAATTTAAGAAAAAAACCAAACCAAACCAGATTCTTTTCATTAACAGAGTGTACTACATGACTTGGTATTCCTTCTTCCCTAGGAGACACTGCTGATCTCTTTCAACCGTGACATTCTGGTAAAGACTGTCACATCTTATTATGACTTTCTGGTATAGCTTTTGAAATTCAAAGTTGCACAATGAAATTAATATAAATAGCAAACAGGTGCTGCTGCATTTTCTCATATTTGTCATCCTTCTGAGCTGTTACTTCATTATGAAATCAGCGCTGTGTTTTCTTGAGACAAGCAGGTTCAATTTGTAAAGGAGACATATCAAGAGATGTGACACCTTCTCATTAACCACAGCCAGTAAGTGCACCTCCTGTGGACAAGGCTGGGAGTGTGTTTCTGCACGATGACTAGTGTATGTTAAAAGGAAAACTGTGTCTCCTTCATGAGGGAAGTACTGAACGGGGCAAGTGTTAAGTCTGGTGGTAAACAGAGGAAACAAGCATATAGGATCCCCTTTAGCATTTTCCTCCAATTTCATGCATTTATTTTCAAAAATGTTTCCAACTTCCCAAACCAGGAACAACGCCAGTAGGGAAGAGTTGTAGAGAAAAGGAACTGCCCATTCAAATCCAAAAGGGGGCACATTTCTCAGGGCAAGTTCAGACATCACCACTGCTGTGCCTGTGAAGATCAACCTAACTCATTCTACACCAGGGTTTCCACATCAGGAAACACTGAGTACTTTTCCTCGGCCTTTCCTTCATGACGGAGTCACCAGTCCATGTGTTCCAGGTCACGACCATCACTATGTATAACCTGTTTTGTTATGACTAGTACTTCCTAATGGGAAATAATGCTTTAAATTTTAGTCTAGAGGACTCCCTCTGAATCTTTCTGCACGAGGGAAATTTAGCAAATGGAAACTTCAACTTTGGACTTTACTTCACTATTAAAGTAATATAAATCCAAAATCCTAGAAGAGAAAAAAGCTGAACAGCTATGAATAAAAAAGAGAATGAATAATAGGGAATCCTCTCAGGTTGAAAAGAATATTTCTCATTTATAATTTTAAGCAAAGAAGCTGTGAATATTTTAAATTAGTCATCAGTGAGCTAAAGAGAGATCAAGACTAACTTCATTTCTGTTATATTCTCTACTCCTATGAGAGTGCAAAGATCACATCATTTCAAGGCCCAGGGACCCCTGAGTAAGCAAAGCATTCAGAGTGTATTTCTTCTGAATTAGGTGTTATTGCTGTGTTCATTTAATAGCTTTACTTTAATTGGAGTAACAGTATCATTAATGATTTTTAAGTGAAAATTATTTTGAACTCAAATTCCTGCCATCTGACTTGAAAAGGATGTGCGGCTCAAAGAGATTTTATTTCCTCTTTCCAATGACTGTAGATCAAACTGATTTTCTTCTTACTATTGAAACGCTGTAATTAACAGCAATAACAAAACTTACTCCTCCTGATGGTCAAGCAACTCCTGATCATCTTCCAACTGAACTTCTTCCCATGATTTTCCAAGTTCCTTTAAAGGAAGAACAGCAGGATTAGAGAGCTTGAGAAGAGGGGATGCAAGAGAGAAAACACACACAAAATTTAAAACCAAACCAAACCAACCACAACCCCACTCAAATGGCTTTGAAACAATGCAAGCAGGACATACTGAAAACTGCACTTCGGTGAGAAGGGTGGACATATCCGAAGATGCTTTTAGTATGCTTTTCTTTTCCAAAGTTCTTTTCTCTTAAATTCAGTGCTCCTCAATAGTGGATACATTGTTAGAATCTCTGAGTCTTTCCAAGAATCCTCCTAGTGTCTCCGAAACAGCTGCCCCAATGCGCTGCTTCGACCCTTGCCCTCCTGCAGCCTGTCCCCTCCTCAGCAGTCACAGGGAGCTGTCAAAAGACACCTCCCTGTATGCACAACCCTCAAGCTTCCTTCACACTTTCCATAAAACCGAGTCCGTTCCAAGGCAGGACCTCCAGGCCCTTTCCTGGCTCTCTCTCCCTGGTATTTTCCACTGTTTTTCTCTTCCTCACTTTGTTCCACCCAGATGGTTCTTTTTGCTGTACCTTGAGCACGTCACGCTCACTTCCACCCAGCCACTTTCACGTCTGCGCATCCTCTGCCCGCACTGGCTCTCCCATGTGCTGTGCCCACTGCCTGCTCACTCATTCTGGTCTCTGCTTACGTTTACGGCTTTAGCCTCCCTCCCAATTCCCTGTCTAGGGCTGGGGATTTAGCTCAATGGCACCAGGCCTGCCTCACAAGCGCCAGGTTGTGGGTTTGATCCCTGGTACCAAAAAAACAAAAAACCCAATCCCCCCCAAAAAACCCAACCAGAAAACAAACAACAACAACAACAACAATAAACCAATACCCTGTCTAAAACGACACTCCTCTTCCAACTTAGTTTCTATTCCTCTAACTTGTTTCACTGTTCTTCAAATCATGGATCATTGCATGCATTTATTTTCTTCTTTGCTATTCATCCCCCCTTCTAGGATGTCCATCAGGGTATGGCCTTTGCTCATGTTTATATTTTCAGAGTCTGGCACACAGTAGGTACTAGAACATACAGCCTTTGAGTTAAATGATACCCCCCCCCAAAAAAAAATCTAAAAATTTAAGGTCAGTGTATCTCAATAGGAGTTTATAAGGCAATTAAATGAGCAGGTACTCAAATATCTTTCCAAATCTCTTTTATCCCTTACAGTTAGTGGAAAAGTTCTAAGGTTTTGGGAGTATGATTGGCAAGTTGTCAAAATTTCAGCAAAAATTATGGAGTGATGAAGAAGAAAGATTTCTGGCCAAACCATTTCTCTTTTCTCTTCTAAGCTGTTTCTTCATCTCTTTTTGTCCTATCCTTTCTCTCTACCCAATCTTCCAAAGATGCCATGCATAAGCAGACAGTGTACGAAAGAGAGATGCAGGAACATTAATGGTTATCTTTTCAAGTAGCTCACAGACAGGGTCAAGTGAGCCCGACCTGCTATAAGCACAACCATCCTTATTTATTTATTTTTGCTTAAATTCTTTTATTGGTACATTTTAGGTATAGAGAATGTTTACATTTATCATTGGGTACTTGTATCTTTACATGACATATCTTGGTTCTTTCTTTTTCCCCATTCCCTGCTCTCCCTTCACCCCCTCCACCCTTCCCTATTTACAAACACTTTATTTCCAGTTTTTCCTTTTCTCAAACTTTTTCCTTTCCCTTTTTTCCTTTCCCCGTCCCCTCCAACTTCCCCTACCCCTTTGGACCTTTTCTTCCTATTTCAAATTATCAATTATTCATTTTAATCCTTATTTACACTTTCAGTTTCTCACACCAGAGAAACTATTCAGTATTTACACATGTGTGTCCTATTTATTTCACTTAAGAGTATGAGCACAGCCACCCTTAGTATTCAATATCCTTCTTTTAGGAAAACACAGCCCAAAGTTGGTCCACTGTGGACATTTTTCTCAGGTATTAATTTAGCTAAAAACAAAGAACTATGAGTGTCATTATGATTTAGAGGGGAAAAGAAAATCTATCATTCATGAACTTAATGTGAGGTTTTGAAGCTGTCATTATCTATCAGCTAAGTGATGCATAAACTCAGCCACACAGACATGTACCATAATGTGATTAGAGATAGTTAACTTGAACTCTATAATGTACTTCCCAGAGTCGTCATGAAGTGTCTGAACCTCATTACAGGACATCAAGAATGGCTTCGACACTGTTGACAGTGTCTTTGTTAGAAGTTTTGGCAATGACTTAAATGTTTCACACCTTATTTGGTCTCTCTGGACTAAGACTCATGGTCATGCTTTTATTGCTACAATATAGGATTCAAGGATGGATCATGTATGATATTACCATTCTGAATGATGGGGGCAAATGATGCTTACCAATAAATGTTTTGAGCCAAAAGGAACAACAACAAAAAATTTCATTATCAAACTCTAAAACTGAAATCATAATGTTGCAACTTCCCCAGTGTTCAGTATACCATATATAAATGCATTTAGGTAATATATAATTAATGATTATGGAATTTTTTTTTTGCAGTACTGGAGATTGAACTCAGGACCTTGCACTTGCAAGGCAGGCTGTGGTGCCACTGAGCTAAATCCCCGGCGAGGAATATGGAATTCTATCAATACATAGATTCATTAATACATTAGGAAATAAGCAATTTCCATGTGACAGTGGGCTACACTTTTCTGAAGTGCTCTGCCTTGGTATAGTGAAAATATATGATTTATTACAGGAACATGACTCAAAGAGGAAAAAGCCCCAAAAACTCAAAACCAAAGCATACAACTTTCTAATTAAGATGCTTTGCTACTAATGAATCACGTCAGGAAGGCAAAGAATGCAAGAAAAACAAAGTTTGGAAGGCACGTCAGTAAATATGTTCCGAACACCCCCTCCAACCCCTGCATCAGATGGTTTATGAGCAATGAGAGAGTGGAGAAAAACATAGGGGAAAACAAAAGATCCCCTTCACCCAGAACTCCTCTCCTCTAATAAACATTCACATGTTCATACACAGTAAACCCATTAGAAAGAGACAGAGAAGCATCTTAAATGCAAACAAATTTGAGGGAATTATTTAAAAACTATGATAAATAGGTCAGGGGCCTACATCCGTTGTTAAGTCATTTTATATACGTTAAAAGCAAAAAAATTTAAGTCAGTGGCTCTGGCACCTGCCTCGCAAGTGCAAGGTTCTGAGTTCAATCCCCGGTAAAAAACAAACAAAAAAGTTTAAGTCAAATGATAAAGCTGTGGCAAAAATAATTCCATATAGAAAAAACTCAGGGCTGGAAACATAAGCATCTTTGGAATATGCATCAGAAGCCCCTGTGATGTTAAGCAGTAGGCAGGGGCATCTGACTGGCACCTTGCCCCTGACCAACCCACTGGCCACTGAACCCTTTCGAGTTTGTGGAAAACAAAAGGGCAAGTCCGTTGCTGAGACACTGACAGGAATTATTAAACACAGGGGAATTATCTAACCTAAGAAGAAAAGAGGAACCTGTCAATTTGCTGAGTCAGAGGGAGCAGGCAGCAGCCTTTGGGCCTGACTCCCCGAGCTGGGCGACTGTGGAGTGCACCTCACCAGCACGTCCGGGATGCGCCCATCACTGCTGCACTGGAGTCCAGTGTCTGAAATGAGGTGAGGAATCCTGTGGGTGTCTATACCATCTATACATGCGGCCCAAGAGGTCGAACACTGTGCACACACCATTCCCAGGGCCCACGGAACAGGCTCCCATGTCTCTCCCACACTAACTTCTGCACACTGAGACAGGTAATCCAATCAGGTACAGGATCTGCAACATTCTCCTTTCTGCTTTGCATCTGGCCCCGGAAGGCACTCACATGTGTGCTGAATGTACGAAGCCCATGAAGTAGATGCAGAAACACTGACTAACTACTAGCACAACTCTGTCTTCCCCCCACACTCATGCATGTGCGCCAGCTTTTCCCCTTAGCAACCTGAGCATCTCTCATTCTCTTTTTAAATTTTAAATAACAAGCCTCCTTTATCATTATTCATCGCTTAAGTAAAATTTTAGAGGCATTTATCTTCATAGCAATGGCTTCATTCTTCATATTGAATATTGTTTTTTTTTTTTTTTTTTTGTACCGGGGATCGAACTCGGGTCCTTGCGCTTGTGGGGCAGGTGCTGGCACCACTGAGCTAAATCCCTGGCCCTAGAATATTCTTTGTTAATGGAGTCTGAAGTGAAACCAAAATGATGCTATAAATTGCTGGCCCTCATTTTTCTTTATACATTACTACTACTTGGAAGTCTTTCATACATACATTCTATGTATCATCACGCTTTTCACTTAGCATAATATTCTTGTGTGTGTGGTAGTGGGGATTGTAACACACTGAGCTACATTCCTAGCCCTTTTAAAATTTTTTTAGTTTTGAGACAGGGTCTTGCTAAGTCACTAAGCTGCCCAGGCTGGGATCCTCCTGCCTCAGCCTCCTGGAGTGCTGGGATTATGGGCTTACAACAATATTCTTTAAAATGTTCCTTCAATGTTATGAAGGTTGATACCTCTGGTGTGTACTCCTCTAGTTCAGGATAGTAAACATTTTAGAGACTACTTTCTTCTTCAATCCTTTTCAAAAGCACTGTATCACTTTCATAATGCTAAGGCATCCTAATGCACTTTAGGCCCCCTCCAATCATTCTTAAACTTGTTGCTTGTTTTCCTTGACAGGCAGCACACAGGACTAAGAAGGCTAAGGTTGTGGGTGAGAATCTTAAAGTACAGATTAAAGTTTGCTTCAATTTGATGTTGGCTCACTTTCTAGTTACAAAAAAGAAGCAAGGGAGAATGAATAGATAATGAAATCATCACCACTACTTGACTAAAAACTCAACCCAAAGCATGAAATGTAGGTACTGGTATTTATCTAGTAAAAATGAAGTATTTAATTGTAAAAATGAAAAGAAATTGATAAATAACTTGCTGTGTGTGAACCTGGGAAAATTCTTAATTTCTCAGTGCCTCAGACTTCTGTTCTATTAAATAGGCTTAACAGTGTCTGCCTGGCAAGCACAAGTCCCTGAGTACAACTGCTGGTACCAAAAGAAAAAAAAAAAAAAGGCCTAATAATATCTGTGTCAGCTGGACGTGGTGGTGCATGTCAATAACCCTGGCATTTGGGAGGCTGAGACAGCCTGAACTATATAGCAAGACTGTCTCAAACCCAAACAAACAAACAAAAAACAAAACAGAAAACCAAAACCCAAAAAGCCCAAAACTCAATAAGAATAGCTGTGTCACAGGAGTATGAGTAAGAATAAATGATTTAATGTGAATACTTAAGGTAGTACCTGGGCCACAGTAAGTGCTCTAATAACTTATTTAAAAAAATTCGTGTGTCAAAGTTATCCTGAAGTTGTGATTTAATTTTTGATATTTTTTCTTTTTACTTTGAGTTTATTGTCTTTAGGTGCATTTTAAATTTTATGGAGGGTGGTGTAAGTCAGATCGGGCACCTTGTATGGAGTAGGACATATTGAGGTGAACTGGCCTTTACAGTGGTAGGTCTTCTTAATCTGGCTGAGAGTCAGGCTGTTTGATGTTGGTTGTTGCTATGGCCTCCAAAGACTTCAGATTGCTCTGGTAACCTGAGTTGACTGCTGGAGGCTTGTTAGCACGAAGACAGGGTGAGGGCCGGGACATTCTCTAATCTTCAGATCCATACACAGTTGGCCTGTGCCGTGAGGGTGTGGCCTTCACGGTTGCCTCTTCCCTTCCCTCCTATGGTAGAGCATCCTCAACTTCCCATTTCCTTTCTGGAAAGCTTTACTCTGTGCCCACCGAAGTTGTTGGTCTGGGGCCCGAAGGCCTTCCCCTCAGGAGACTGATTGTTTTTAGGGTGAGAGGATGTGCTTTTCTTTTTAAATCTACACGAGATCGGAGTTTGGGTGGAGTTCTCTTCCCCTGGCTGCAAGGGTGTTTCACCAGTGTGTGATTTAATTTTTATCTACTATTTATTAAAACCTTTCCATTCTCTTTAGCTGTGGTTACCACAGCCAAACTTGACAGCATGGCCAGTATAATCCAGCATCCTAAGGACAGATGGCGCTTGAAAATGATTGTGGTTTGGACAGTCACACTGCTCTCTGGGAATGAAGTGTCACACTTCTCTAAAAGTGCCAGCAGAAGATGGCTGTGCAGACTCTTTGAAGTTTCCTCTAAAAGGTAAGCTCCTCCAGCTATACAGTGCTCTGCTGAGCCCAAACTCCTGAATATTAGCATAAAAGAGCCCTGGGAGGAAGAACCATGAAGCTGCCCGCACAGCTTGCTGTAGTAGCTGAATATTCCTTAGTGCTAACTCTGAAGTCCGCTCCCTGGGGGTTAGACTGAGCCCTAAAGCATATTTGTTGTGGCAAGGAATGGCAGTGATTTCAAGTGAAGACTGAGCGATTCACAGTGTGGCATTGCCTTTAGCTGGTTGTAAAGCATTTGTAGCAAAACCATGGTAACCTCCCCGAGTCAATCTTCACACACATGCTCGATTCGATTCTCAAGGGGAGTTTCAGTTTAATACTGTATGGATTAGACAAAAATTCCACCCCAGAATGGAAATTTCCAACATAATTCAGGATATGCTTGTTGCTACCCAATAGATAAAATGGCTGATTATATTAAATTAGCCTTCTTAATTCATTCATATCAAGGGGGAAAATAAACAGTTTCTATTGGTTAAGGAACCACCAGTCAAAAACAAAACTCCTCAGCTTTTTTCCCATTCTTCTCCTTCCAAGAATTATTCAATCCCTTTCTCTGAGTAGTTTTCTTCCTTTGTTACACACAATTAAAAAGTCAGTGGATGGGGCCAGGGATGTAGCTCAGTGGCGCTGTGCCTGCCTTGCAAGTGCAAGGTCCTGAGTTCAGTCCCCATCAGTGGATGGAGGGCAGGGCCTGTAGCACTTCGCAGTTGTTGTGTCAATCCAAAATCTCCTCCCATATTTCCAAATACCCCCAAAGTGACATCTGTCTCCAACTGAGTACCATTTTTCACCACAAAGAGACTGTACCCTACACAGGCCAACAAATGGTGTTGAGCGTTTCTGGGCAAGGACAGCTTTCGATGTGAACTCCTTGGCACAGTAACGTGGTCAGTCCACCCTACTGGCCAAACAAATCAAAGTCCCTTGCATAGTAATGTCGCTTGGTTTCCCTGAAACTTCCCTTCAAAATAAATTGGCCCAGAGAACGAAGATGCACTTTGTGTGTGAGCATGTATTTTGTAGTGGGGAAAACAGGGGAGAGTGAGAAAACTACTTTTAAAGAATTGTCCTGCATAGCACCTAGCATATCCAGTGCTCATAAACATTTTTTGAACAGAATAAAGAAGTCTCCAGCTTCAGGTTACTAGATAATAAATACCATGAAGGGAGAGTCTGGATATCCAAATGTTGCATTTTTTCCAGTCACAATCTCTGAGTTCTAGTGACATATCACTTGAACACTTGCCAAGTCAAAGACAAACCAAATCATTTTGTAAATCAAATGCTTTGTAAACTACCACTAACTGCTGCTTGAAAGTGTCCCTCAGTTACATTTTAACTTTTGTACTAATTTCTTATTCAAACACCAGTTGTCCTTTTGGGACCCTGCGGTATTGCAATCAAATTTAAATAATGAGAAGAAAGCTTACCAAATAATTAATGACATAAAATCGGTCATATTCTTTATTCTTTGGATTGATTCTACGATGCTGCTTTTTTCTCATGTGATCTTTAAGTGTGTTTTTGTCCCTGAAGGTCTTCTCACAGTACAGGCACTGCAAACTAAAAGAAATACACACACAACATTGAACAAGTCTCTTGGACAACTGCTGCAAGAACCCTTTACTGAGTTTTGCAATTATTCATTTTAGGTCACAACAAACTCCTCAGTTGGATGCACCATCCTTGTCTGAATCCCCCTTGCTTCATTCATGTGGTCCTGCAGGAGGCATGATGTAGTTTACTTTGTAGTTGGCTAAATTGGCCAACCTGGTGAATTAGTTAAAACTGTGACAAGGATAGCGAATATAAAAACATTATATTTGGTGCTTTACTAATAGAATTGGTGCTTTACTAATAGAATTACATATTCTGAAGTGAAAATGCAGACATATTCTTTAAATAACTACAATGACGACTAGCAGTGAGTGCCCTGACTGGACAGAATAATTAGTACACGGTGTAGCCCGTAAGCTGAGCTGTGAAACTTGTTGAAGTTACTTGCCCTCTCTGTTGTCACTTCCTGATTTTTAAAGTAAAGATAACACATTTTTGAGAATTTTCATGATGATTTCATATATATTTATTGAGCATTTATTATGTACTACAAAGTATGCTAGATATTTTATTCATATAGATGAATATATGACTATATGATTAAAATAAATGCTAGCTGCTATTATGACATTATTTTCATATGCCTAGTGATGAAATATTTGTACTGATGGGGAATTTACTTCTTAGTAAAGTAGTAACTACCAGTATTGAACCGATTACTGACAAAATGTCTTTCCTTACCTTGACCTGACACATGGTATTTATTGCCTGTAACTTACTGCTTAAGTCAGAGTCACACAGAGTAAGTCTAAGCGAGGCTGTAATTTAGAGGCATACATAGTTAGGTCTAATCTCTTCTATCTGACAACTCTCAAATGACTGCAATCAAATGGCTACTATTTCAGGCTTGAATTCTTTAAAAAAATCTCTATTATGCATCCTTTCTTTTATTTCCTATGATAGAAATAAGTATATACTTTTATAGTAAACAAGTATCAGTAAGTTGATTATTGATGTTCATTATTGCTAGTCTTGTTAGAAAGCACATCTAGTTTTATTTTATAAATGAAGGGTCATTTAACAAAAAGTAAAGTAATTCACTTTGATGTAATATTGATACAAAAGGGCCTGGGATTTAGCTCAGTGGCGCCATGCCTGCCTTACAAGCACAAGATCCTGAGTTTAATTCCTGGTACCAAAAAAAAAAAAAAAAAAAAAAGATACAAAAAGTGGTGGCACATGATTGTAATCCCAGAAATCGGGAGGCTGAGGCAGGAGGACCGCTGTGAGTTTCAGGCCAGCCTTCATAGTGAGTTCAAGGCCAGCTTGGACTACATAGCAAGACCCTGTCTCACAACTGAACCTCCCCCCCCACCAAAATAAACCCTACATACAAAAATTTCAGTTAACTTTTTTTTTTTGGTACCAGGGATCGAACTCAGGACCTTGCGCTTTCGAGGCAGGTGGCAGCACCACTGAGGTAAATCCCCAGCCCTTCAGTTAGCTTTTTAAATTACTCATTAGTATCACTTGATACCACATATATTTTAATGTTACTGCTCTTAATGTTTTGGGCAGAAATACAGACTGGTCAGTATTATATTTAAATGAAGAAAACTAGGTTCTAAACGAACTCTTAAGAAACTCTTAACCCCTTTCCTAGGAAGAACAGAGCACATAGTTTTGAAAGCCATTTTGGTGACTCAAGAAAATTTTCTTCCTTGACTCAATAGGCTAAGCTCTAGAAACCAAGGTAGTCAGAATATGACTTTGGGACAGGGAAGTATTACATATAAATTTGAATAGAAAGTAAAAGGTGGAAGAATGCATATAGAATGCCACGTCTCACATAAAGCTGAGCAACATACAGTAACTTGACGACATATTAACCTTACTAAATATGTAGAAGAGTTATAGAGAAAAGCAAGGAATTACAACTCCAAAATTAAGAACAGGGACTTCTGGGGAAATTAACAGAGAAAGGCGCACCGGGCAGTCAAAGGAATTAAAAATGTTCCTTTGCTTGGGTGAGAAGGTGAGTACATTCTTCACACCCTACCTGATATATGTTATATGGTATGTATAGTTTGGTATAAACGACATTTTAATTAAAACATATAAGCAACAGTAAAAGGCAATATAATCTAGATAAAATGAGGACTGTCATAGAAAATGCAAACTCCTATAGCACAAAAAACAAGAAATTTTCACTTATTTAATTGCTCCTGAGTATTAATTTAAAAACAATTTGCAACAAAGTCCAAGATTAAAACAGGGTTAGGTTGTGTTTCACAGAATAGTACGTACTTGTCAAGTTTCTTCTGTAATGTACAGAGAAATTCATTGCAGTTTACAATGTTGTCTGGCAATCCAATGTTGAAAGCATGTTCTCTGGCCATGTGGTTCAAAAGAACAGATCTATGAGGAAATTTGAGTAATTTGTATTATTTATAAATCATCTAGGAACAAATCCAGCTAGGAATTGCATTTATATGACAACAACACTAATTGGAAGCATGAGCAAGTATTAAGCACAGACATGAGCTATGGAAGAGTGACATTTTATACAGTAAGAAAGTATAACCACATTGGTGCTTTACAGAGGCCAAGATTTGATGACATTACTGTACTGTACATTATCAGACACTGATACATTAATACAGTACATTAATGTACATTATCAGACACTGGAGGGTTATACCCTGTAGGATTATCAGGTGCTGGGGCTGGGGATGTAGCTCAGTGGCACCACGCCTGCCTCGCAAGCGCAAGGTCCTGAGTTCGATCCTCGATACTGGGAAAAAAAAAGCCAAAAGATTATCAGGTGTTTTAAACTATTACATAAAGTGTCTTCTTCTGCTTTTCCAGTTCATCATGAGTATAATGGTTAATTTTACGTGCCAACTTTGCTTGACGAAGAAACACTTCAGAACTTGTAAAGCATTATTTCTGGGTATGTCTGTGAGGTTGTTTCCAGAGGAGATAGGATGTGAACCTGAGTGGGCAAAGGGGAAGACCTACCCTGAATGTGGGAGGGCACCATCTAATTAACCTGGACACAACAAAAATAGTAGAAAGGTGACTTGGCCTCTCATTCTCTCTCTCCTGTGGCTGGGACACTGTCCTCTTCCTGCTCTTGGTTACCAGAACTCTAGGACTTACACCAGTGGCCCCAGGGATCTCAGGCTCTGAGCTGAGTTATACTCTTCAGCTTCTCTGGTTCTGAGCCTGTTGGACATGGACTGCACCATGCTTCTGGCATCCTAGCATCTCTAGCTTTCAGCTTGTTGTGGATCTTTTCAGCCTCTATAACTGCATGGGTCAGTTCCTCTAACGAATCTCCTCTTGCTCCTCCCTTCCCCCATATACACAGTATATTTCACTGGTTCTGTCCTTTGGGAGAACCCTGACCAGTTCAAGGGGGAAGAGAAGAGGGAACTGCCTACCAGAAAGATGACGCTGTGACCTGGAATCGCAGACATTCAGCTTATCACTGGAAGAGACCTGGAACCCACATTTAATGGGGTCTGATTATATGCATGGTTATGATAGCCTGGAAACTCACTGACAGCCCGTTTATTATTTTATGGAAAAATGGAAAATTTTGATTTTTTTTCTCAACTCAAATTGATTTTCAACTGGTATATAAAACTATGGGCTACTGTGTGATGTTTTGATACATGCATATGTGTAATGTTTAGTTCAGGTTAATGACTTCAAATCTCTCTCTCAAACATGTATCATTTCTTTATGGTTGCAAGTGTCCAAACTCCTTTTTTAGCTTTCTGCAGTGTACAGGGCAGTGCCATTCTCTGTCACCTTCCTGTGCAAGAGCACACCAGAACTTCTCATTCCTCACTAGAATAGCTTTCCCCACATCCTCTCTTCCCAGGCTCTGGTAACCACCATTCTATCTCAATCTCCAGGACACTGACTTCTTTAGATTCCATGCGTAATAAGTCAATGTGGCTCTTGTCTTTCTGTGACTGTCTTATTTTACTTGACACAATGTCCTCCAGCTCCATTCACAATGAAGCAAATGACAGGATTTCATTTTTCTATATGGTTGAATAGTATTCCATGGTGTATATGTGCCATGTAAAAGTTTTAATTCAGGTAACTTTCACATAGCAAAACCGCGTATGTATATAATAATGTATCTTATGTCAGATTTTATCACAGTTTTACTTCATAGAATAAAGGTGTTGGTTTTGGGGAACAGAAAAGTACAGATGCCACTGATAAGATGAGATAGTGACACATTATACACTTTATTTTATCTAGCGTATTTAGATATTTAATTTGCTTCCCCAATTTTTTTTTTTTTGGTACCGGGTATTGAACTCAGGACCTCATGCTTGCCAGGTAGGCGCTGTGCTGCTGAGCTAAATCCCTAGCCCCCCACCCAGTTGTTTTTAGTAGCAACCATCTCTAAAAATGGTGATTTCTTTTTTTTTTAACGATGAAGGAGATCCATTTATTAATCTCTGGTTAACATGCTCATGTGTCTATCTGCTTAGCTATTACTAATAACTTGGACTAAAAGTACTTGTTGGGGTAGTCTGCAGTGCCTTTTGGGCCTACCAGGCCTCTCCAGGGCAGCCCAGACAGGTGGGGTTGGTTTCTAGTCAATTCAGTTTTCATTTCTGAGCAATTAAATGCTTGTCAGTTTTAACCAGTATTTCAACTTCTTACCTTCTTTATAAGCTTTTTGTTGTGTTTTTGAGAGAGGGTCTCGCTTTGTAGTACAGGCTGGCCTTGAACTCACTCTGTAGCCCAGGCTGGACTGCAACTTGTGATCCTCCTGCCTCAGGTCCAAGTGCTAGGATTACAGCTGTGTACCATCATACCCGGCCCTTTATTATAAACTTAATTTTATCATTAATCACAATTTTTTTAAATTATAAGTTTCACGGAAACAGTTTTAAATTATTATCTTTTTTCACATTCACAATGGTCCTTAAAGGCATGTAATAATTATGAATATAATTAATAAATTCTGGGTTCAAATGAAGTTTTAAAGAAAATATTATTTCATGTACTTTCAAGTATTTTTTCCCTCTGTACTTTAGAAGTAAAGATTTCCCTACATAGTTTTCTCTAAACTGATTTTGCAGAGTCTCCTTTGAACCTACAAATGTGATTTGGAGAGATGAGATTAAGCTACAGGAATAGCTTTGGGAAGCTTTGGGAGAAGCACTTTTGGAATGATGAAGTAGGGACCTCTGAAAATATGTTCTTCCGTAAAAGCAATACAGACACTGGCAAAAAATGTCAAAATAATTCTAATTTTGAAGAACTCTGGAAATTTACCAGAGGCGTCCCAACAATCCAAACAACATTTATTTAAGAAAAATGATTCAATTGTGCTAAGAATGGTGAGCTTGGCTGTGTTTTAATTTCCCCTACCCTCTTCCTCACTGTGAGCTGCACAGCAGCCTTAACAACCAGCAGTGTCACAGCTGCTGGGGGAGGGGTGGTGGGCAGAAGGGGGCGGGCTCTCCTAAGGGGTTCATCCTATTTAACCCGTCTGAGGCATTGAGAAACTTTCCATTTCATGGTTTGCTTTTCTCATAGAACATGTTTAAGTACATTCAAAGGAACTGAAGTTATCCCCTGTATATTTCATGGTTTGCTTTTATTTGATATGCCACAGTTCACTTTGAGAAAATTTTCACCCCTAGGGCATCTGACAAAAAACACTCAGTGACAATTTTTTAGTATCACAGCTACCTGAGGCAATGCCAACTGGGGAAAAAACCAGGCTGGCCAAAATACTTACAAGAAGATTGGGCAAATGAGATACCTATAGAGGACGTCTGAAAAGTTCTGACAGATTCTTGGTGATACAGAAGGTCAAACACGTGTGCAAGGCTGTGTGGATGCCTAGAAAGACATGAGGAGATCCTCCTAATCTCTCACTTCTGGCTAACTGTGAGACTATCCAACTATGAAGTGCAGGCTAGGGCAGAGGTGTTAACCGACGTAGGGTTGAAGAAGTGTCCCAAGTCACATACAAAGCCCTTGACAAAGAGCAGAAGATACATTGGCTCAAGGCATTAAAGAAAATCTTTATCAAAAAAAAAGAAAAGAAAAGAAAATATTTATCTGATCATTAGCTTAACACTAAGCTAATTGAGTAGACTTCAGTGGCCACAGATGAACCGTTTAAAGAATTAGCCTACAAAAGCCACTAAACATACAAATAGCAACAAAAATCCTGGTGAGGCAAAAAAGGTATCTGATTTTTAGACTTGGTGCATTGTAAAAGTTGAGTTTTCAACAAAAAATTGTAAGACATTCAAAGAAACAGAAAACTATGGCTCACACACATGGACAACAAAAACAGCCAACAGAAATTATTCCTGAGGAAGTCTAGATGTAGGAGTTATTTGACAAAGAATTTAAGTCAGTTAATATGAATATGTTCGAAGAACTAAAGGAAACCATGTCTAAAAAAATCAAAGTATGAGTATATCTTATCAAACAGAATATCAATAAAAGATAGAACATATATATGTATATAATTATAAATACAAGACATTATGGAGTTAAAACTGAAATGAAAATTTCACTAGAGAGATTCAAAAGATTTGAGCTGGACAACACTCTGGAAAGGCTGAGGCAGCAGGATCTGAGCCCGGCCTGGGCAAATTAGTGAGAATCTGACTCAAAAATGAAAAACAACAAAAGGGCTGGGGATGTAGCTCAGCACAAAGGCTCTGGGTTCAATACCCAGTACTGAAGAAAGTAAACCAAACCAAACCAAAGCATGCCAGAGTCTGAGAAACCATCAAGTCTACCAACATACATACCAGCTTTCCAAAAGATGGGGAGAGAGTGGTAAAGAGAAAGACAGAGTCTCGACAGTGGGAAAATTGATTCATACACAAGGGATTCTTAACAAGGCATCTGACCTCTCATGAGAAATTACAGAAAGAAGGCAGTGGGTGACACATGCAAAGTGCTGAAAGAAAGACTGTCAACTAAGAATTCATTGTCCAGTAAAACTATTCCTCAAAATATGGGGGGAAAATCAACAAATAGAAACTGAAATAACTCTTTGCCAGCAAGTCTGCTACACAACAAACTAAAGGAGTCCTTTAGGCTAAACAGAAGAGATACTTGATAATATCTCAAATCTAAATAAAGAAACCAAGACCACTGGCAAAGGTAATTACAAAGGTAAATATCAAATATAAACTTTTTTCATTTACAACCCTTTTCTTCTCATATCTGATATAGAAGACAACTGCATAAAGCAGTGATTGATTATAAAACATGTTTGTGAACTTGTCATGTATAAAGATGTGATCTGTGTGATAACAAAGGTAGGGGTAGGAAACAAACTGACATTGGAACAAAGTTTTTGTCAATTACTGAAATTAAGTTGGTATTAACCTGGACTAGATTGTTTTAGGTTAAATGTTAACTGGAATCCACACGGCAATCACTAAGAAAACAGCTCAAAAACATGATAAAAGAAAGATGGTATTAAAATCATATTCTAGAAAATACCTATTCAACACAAAAGATGGCAGTAATGGAAGAGAGGGGAAAAAAAGATGTAAACCATAGAAAACAAACAAGAACAAGAAAATGATAGAAGCAAATCCAATCTTATTAGTGGATTACATTAAACATAAATAAGATACTTCCAATCAAAAGGTAGAATTGACTCTAACATGGTCCAACTACATGTCGTCTATGAGATATACTTTACATTCAAAGAAACAAATGGGTTGAGAAAAACAGCTTTTATATGTCATACTCAAGGGTGTGCAGGAAGGGAAAAGAGTCCATGCAGGAAAGTACTTATTCCTCTCCCTATCTGTGTTATTACCTAGCTCTTTTGTCTATTCCTTTTATGCCCCTATGCTGGGAGGACATAAATGTAGGCCTATGATACTGCTTACACGGTAGTGACAGCGATACATTTTGAGAGGTGGGTTGTTAGGCAATTTTGTCACTGTGCCAACATAAACCTAGATGGTTGGTCAATGCTCAACACAGCTACTTAGAACAATCAAGAAACATGAACATGAGATGGATTGAGGCTGTTGCTGGTGTTAACTCAGCCTGTAGTTTCATGGTAAGCCCTTCTCAAGTAAGTAGGAATATACTCTAAAATGGTGATAGAAGTACAGTCCAGTAGGTATGATTGAAAGCTGGGACTTGAGCCAGCCTGATCTCCAGTGGGGAAAGAGGGCTCAGCCTGAGTTCAATGATTTCAGCAACTATAATGCAGTCCCAACACAAACTTGACAACAAAGCTCAGTGTAATTGCTGGATGGTGCCAGGAGGGTGACAGGTCCTGATTCCTTGGGGAGAGGGCAAAGAAACTCTGCGTTCAGGAGCTTCCCTTAGCTTGACTTATCTGTCTCTTCTTTTGGCTGTTCCAGGTCTGTGTCCTTTATAATAAAACTGTATTTTACACACAGTACATTTCTGAGTTCTATGAGTCATTACAGTGAATTATCAAACCGACAAAAGTTATTAGTGAAAACCTCTGACTTTGTAGCCAGTTGGTCAAAAGTTCAAGCAGGTAGCTTGGGAACTCCTTAAACTTATGGTTTGTTGTCTGAATGAGGTAGTAATGTTAGGGGCTGAGACCTTATGCCCGTAGAGTCTGATACTACTCTTGGTGATCAGTGCCAGAACTGAACTGCAGTGCAATAGCTAGATTTGGCCTGATTGGGGTTGGTGACAGAATTAATAACTCTAACTCTGTCTAACTCTGTCTAGGGATCTATCATTTTTAATACTCAAAAATGAAAAACCAAAAACTTCCAAAGATTTAGTTAATCAGTTAGGATGAAGAAGTTCATCTGCAATAGTTTGTTGCACATGGTCTTGCCTGTCAGCCAATTTAAAAAGCCTTACAGTAAACAAATCTTTTCGTGGCATTTTAAGAATTTATTCTCTTGCTCTGCTTAGAGCAACCACAGTTCATCTTTGATGTTAGGCATATTTTTTAAAAAGTACTAATGATATAGGAAAAGGTGCTGGGCCAACCTGTATGTCTTAGTTATTTTTCTCTCACTGCTGAGACAAAATACCCAACACCTAAAGTTAAAGGGAGAGAGGTTTATTTAGTTCACAATTTGTATAGGTTTCAGTCCACAGTCAGCCAGCTCCAAGGAAGGGTGGCTTGGCAGAGGCGTGTCACAGAGGAGAATCAGTTCACGGCAAGCGGAAGACAGCAAAAGCAAGCGAGCAAGGGAGAAGACAAGCCTCTTCCTGTCTCTTATATCATATCCAGGCTACTGGGATTACGGGGGTGCCAAACCAATCACTGGACTGATTCAGCAATCACACACCCTTAATGCTAGGATCACACACTCCAGATCCAGCCACCTCTGAAAAAGCCCCACCTATAACCACATGAGGCTTTGGGGGGACATCTGGAGCAAATCAAACCACCACAGAATTTAACATAATAAACAGTTATGGACGTTGTGATGAGTTTTCAGATTAAAAATAGTAACATTTAAAGGTGCACAATGGCTAACCTGTTTCCAAGGAATTCCTCACTGCAAAACATACAAACGCCATGAAAAGTGGTATCATTCCGCTCTTGCTGCTGTTGTTCCAGAATTTCTTTCTGTATAGTAGAAATAGATTTGACATTATCTTTCATAAATACGCAGTTAATGAATAACAAATATAGCCTGAGAGAGAGGAAGCTGGGATGGAAGCACAAAGGAAATAGTATATGAGAACTGCTAATATTTCTTATATCTCCATTCTTGACTCTAAGTCTACACCACTAAATATCTGTAAAATACTCATTACATAGTTACTCAGGAAATTCCAAGTCAATAGGTCTTACCATCTTCCTTCTGTCTCTTATCCACAACTTCCTCTAAATAAAAAAATGTGATTTTTAACTTGGTTCTTTCTCTAAATCTCAGCTTAGTTTGTAATCAAGGTTTGATAACTTTTCACTCAAACTATCTATCATATTACTTTTCCCCACCCTTTCCACGCCATCACCTTGAATCCAGTTTTTATTCAATTATAGGATTACTGTAATTTTTAGAGGATTGCTCTGCTTACAATCCTTCTATCATATCCATCTTTTTTGCTGCTAGAAAAACTTTTCTTGCACAATTACCTTGTTATGATTCTACTCAAGTAATTTAAAATATGCTGATTATGTGCTGTGCTAATCAGAGTGGTTCTACACATTACTTTCTTTGAGGTAATTTTATTTCTCTTTGCTTTTTCACTCTTACAGAGCTTTACTTATTTATCAAGATCCAACTTGATTTTCATTCCCGATACAGTATGAAGAACTCAGTAAAATACTGAGCAGACCTGGACTTGAAATCCAGATCTCACTTGTTATTGACATATTATTTAGCATCTTTAATCCCCAGTTGTCTCATTTATAAAAGAATGCTAACTCATAGCACTGTCTATATTATTAATGTGTGTAGAATTCAAAAATGTATGTATCATTAAATGTTGGCTATTGCTGTTCTCCAGTACACATAAATTCTTGTTGCCTATTACCAACTAACTCTGGTTAAGTGTTGCCTATTTTGCCTTCTCAAAGGAAATAAAGTCTTTTAAGTTAAAAAAAAAAGTACTTATGCTGTCCTTATATTGAATCTTCATATTATTCTAGTTTCTCTTATAACATGGAGTTCAAAATATAAACTTTATAAAAATGTACTGCTGATTTTATAAATATCTTTAGAAAAGCATAAAAATGAGCTAGTGTCTAGAATGTTAACATATATTCTATGTGGAATTTCTTGGGATGTATCACAAAACATCTAGTAATATTAATCTATTCAAGAAAAAAATTAAGCTACATAATGAAAGTCAATTCAGAAAAATTTATTATCTGCCATGATGGAAAATTCGATATGAGATTTATCTTTTCACTGTAAACTACTTATAGAACCAATTGCTTTGTATATTTTATGTTTTCAGATATTGGATAAGAGCACAGGGTTGTGATCCTGGAGAGAACAAAGTTTTCTGCTGGAGAATATTTTCAAAATTGCAATAAAAATAAGTTGGACCCAAAAGAAGAGCAGCTACTTCACTAGGCAAAGAAAAAAAAATGAATTCAAGATGGTAAAGTGAGTAGAACTGTAGTACCAAGAGCTATAGATCAGAGAGATACAAAGAAGGAACTCAAGAAACATGTATTGGGATTCTTTTCCTATCTGGCCCAATACTAAATAAGCTATACATATACAGGGCAGGAGCCTATTAGGCTGGACAGAGGAGTTTCTGGGGCCTATGAAGCTTAATGGAGACTCTAGAAGTTGTAACACTGGAATATATTGGAGTTCTGACAAACAGAATAGAAAGGCCAGGTTCAATACTTTAGGAACACAGCAAATATAAAAAACACTCTTTAGTTCCCAAAGGTTAGGGTTTTATGATGGTAGCAAAAAGACAGATAAAAGCAAAAGGGCTGGGGATGTAGGTCATTTTGAAGGCCCTGGGTACAATTCCCACTACCCCCCCCCCAAAAAAAACCCCAAAAAAAACAACAAACAAACAAAACCATTCTGGCTTATATTTCTCAAGCTCATGATGATACAATTCTAATTTTTTTTTTTTTTTGAGACAGGGTCTTCTTTGTAGTTCAGGCTGGTCTTGAACTTGTGGCGATCCTCCTGCCTCAGCCTCCTGAATGCTAGGATTACAGGCATACGCCACTATTCCCAGCTGATATAACTCTAATTTTATCAAAAGAGAAATCTTAACATTTTCTTGATTTTGATTCAGCACAAATAATAAATGATTTTATGACTTAAAACCAGAGTGATACTAAGCCATCTAAGGTTTCAAAACATTTGTTATTAGTACATGTTTGCAGCACATAATGGTTACATTCACCGTGGGGTTGTCAAAATTAAGTTTTATCAGTTGAACCTGAACTGCACAATCTAAATAGGTACACTGATTATTCTTAGGCAAGCCTAGCACACACTATGGTAAAGTAGAGGCAGTATGGGACAGTCAGGGCAATAGAGTAGGAAGACTCTGCGTTTGCATGTGCTAAAGCCATGCTTTTCCTCCATGCTTTGGTTCTGTAGCAACTCACAGTGTTGACAAGATACTGAGGATTCTCAGCTGGGCCATCTACATTAGCTGCAGCCACAATGACAGATAATAGTTCTGAGAATATACAAGTTCTCCTTGACCTTGCATGTTTGGCACAAGTGTAATTTTTATCAAGTTAATTTTCTCAAGACTATACTCTGCCCAATCTTCACCCCTCCCCACTCTTTTTTAAGAAATGGGGGTCTCACTATTATTCAGGCTTGCCTTGAACCCTTGGCCTCAAACAATCCTCCTGCCTCAGCCTCCAGAATAGCTGAGACTACAGGTGCACACTACTATGCCTAGGACCTCCCGGACCTTTCTACAACAGAAGATACTTAAACCATTTGTTGCTCTATGCTCAATTTACTATGATCAATGCAAGCAAGGGCCCAATTATTAGGATACGAAGACACAGTAGCTCATCATAACTTTTTCTGTTCCATGTTTTGAGCTTCAACATGTCCTGTCATACCTGGTTCTTATGGTCACAATAATGTAAATACTCTGCTTAGTCCCTCTTGGCTATTTTCCCCAGTGTCTCTCCATTAACATATTCTGTTTCTACTAACCACATCTAACCTGTCTACATCTACTCCAGTATGGTTTCCTTTGTAACCAGTACTGTGGAGTACCAGCTGATCAGAACATGTGAACTCCAAGGGACCTCAGGAACATTACCTACTAAATCCGTTAAGAGATGTTGCAGTGGCTTGTGTAAAGCCACACCGGTATTTGGTGCTAAAGCTGGTGTTGGTTGCATCATACTATGCCTTCCTTTTCCTTATAAGGTAACCACTGTAGCACATATAGAGACACAGTTTGTAACAATGATCTTTTTACAGAGTGAACAAACAAGTTCAGAATCCAGGGGATAGAGATCTAGAGAGGTAGAGTAGTACTTAAATTTTTCTATAAAACAATCATACAAAAGCTTTATCACAATGCATCAAATATGAATGAAGACTACAGAATTTGGTACTTTAGAACATCAACATAACAATTATAATATATGCAAATATAATTCTGCCTTATCCCTGATTTTTAAAGTATTCTACATAAGCGTTTTAGATCATAGAAATTTTTACTTGGCATTTACAAGGTTAACTTTTGCATAGCATGGTTTCCGAGGTCCCTCCACGTTTCTCTGCATTCCAAATTCAAGATCAATTTAACTTGTTCTATATGATATGTGGTCCTTGCTAGGAACAATTACTGCCATATTGCATTGCAATGCAAATACATTTTACTTTCAGGATCTGTTTGTTTTGTCTAAACTATGCTCTCCTCATTTTATTTTATTTTTTTATTTACAGTCATCTACATTTATCTCCTTTTATTCACTGAAGCTTCTTATCACTTTAGTGGGTTCACTTATTTAACAACTGCCTTCCCCCATCTACACCTCATTCCAATTTGCTATCATCTGAACAGACCTCCTGTTCTTCCTCTGAACCCAGAATAAAACTACTATAGGGCCTTCCAAACGCTGCTAAAGAGAAACAGAAAATTCAATTTTGAGAGTGAAAATAAATCAAAACAAGTCAAAGCTGGGCTTGGTGGTGCATGCCTGTAATCCCACCAGTCTGACAGTCTGAGGCAGGAGGATCACAACTTTTAGTCCAGCGGGGCTATTCAGTGAGTTAGTGAGAACTAAGTCTAAAAATGAAATGAAAGATTAAAAAAGAGCTGGGGATGTAACTCACTGTGAAAGGTATAATTCAATCCTCACTACCAAAAGAAAAAAAACAGTAGAAAATATCTGGTATTTGAGAAAGAGGAGCTCCTAGTTCCTTCCTTGGATGGATTTGATGGCAATTACTGTCATCTGGTAGGGATGCTTTTTCTCTTACTTCCGGATTCTCTGCAATTTGAATCTCTTGAGGTTGCCAGATATGAGATAGATGAATTTATAGGAAAGACTTTCCCTGTACGTAAAGAAATATGCTTATCTGGTGAATGCCTAGAGGGACAGAAGACACAATTTGGTTGTACATGGACTTTCAAAGAGGTTGTCTATAATTAGCTAATGATACATGGTGCCTGAAGAGAAACATTAGAATTGGTACTCAACAAAACCTGAAGTAACACACTAATGGTTATTTTCAAGGGACTAAAACCCACAATCTTTATTTTAGCACAGCGTTCATAATGCTCAGTACCTATCCTAACCTAGGTTTTAAAAATCCTTCTTTTACACTGCTTCCCCATGTAACTCTATGCTATAGGCAAAAGCAAGCACACATACTATAATTTGTGTATTATTCTTAATAGCAGTCATCAACTACCTATTATGATTTCTTAGGCCACTTAAGTGGTTGGAAGCAATTGTTTCATCATGTGCCCAGCTTTGCTCATTAGTGTTCTCTACCCTCATCCTTCAAAGCGCACTTCAAATGCAGTATTCTGTAATGAGTGGAAAAAACAATCAGGCCCTTTTCTGAGCAAACGGTGCTAAATGTGGTCTTGGGCATAACTCTTCCCTAGGTCCCTTTCTGGTGACCTCTAAATTGTCTGTGAAACTACCTCTTT